CCTCATTCTTTCCTTCTTCCACGATAAATTTAATTTCTTTTCCTTCTTTTAGTCAGGGTCATTTCTCGGGATTGACTTTATCACCAAAAACCAAAATAGATTCTCTATTTTCTAATTCTAAAATGAGAAAATTATTGCGGTTCTTGTCTAAAAGTTCTTTGCGGTTGGTGATGGTGGATTTAATATTACGAGTTAAGTTCATTTATAATAATTTTTATTCATTTTTTTATTCCTCCGCCAACTCGGTCAGGTTTTTTTCCAATTTCGCTATCTTTTCTCTTTCGGCCGATAGTTTGAGAAGTTTTATTTCTGACTGATAAATCCTGCGCAAACTTATTAAACAATAGATACTAAAAAATAATGGCGGCAGCGAAACTAGTAAAATAGTTCAGAAATACCAAGAGTTCCCCAGGGTAAAAAAGGAAGCAGTTAGGGTTAGCACCATGGGAATTAAGAAGAAAGAAATAATAATAAACTGATTGATCAAATAACTGTTCTGACATTCTTTTATTTGGTTTGGATAATTAGTCATAATTTTATTTGCGATAATTTAGTCAGGCAATTAATAAATTAATCACCGCAGCCATAGCCGAAACTACTGAGGCATAGGATAAAATTTTGTTTCATTTATTATTTTGCTCTTGTAATTCTTTTTTTAATTTCTCAATTTCTTCCTTAACGGTCATAAATTAGGAGATTATTTTTTGCGGGCAATCTCCTCTTTCAAGCTAATTGAGAATTTACACCTTGGCACTCTTTTAGCCGGAATATTCATTTTTTTCTTAGTCTGTAAATTCATAGCCATGCGGGGTTTAGTAATAGCCGTTTTAAAAGTGAAATAACCTTGCAATCTCACTTCTTCACCTTTTAAGAGAGATTTTTTGGTCTCTTGTAAAAGTTCATCAATTATTTTAACTACTTGATTTTGGGGATATTTAGTTTTTTTAGATATTCTTTCAGTTAATTGGGATTTACTTGTGATAGTCATATATGTTATTTAAGGGGTTTTTTCTAACTTTTAGGCAAAAAAACCAAATAATTAAGCCTGTTTTCGGGAACGACCATTAAGTTTTGGAGGAGATATCACGTGAACTTCTTCCCCCGGCCGAACAACTTTTAATTCAAAAGGAGCTAATAATTCAGTAGCATAAGCAACCAATTTATCCAAAGTAAATTTGTCAATGTGGCAAAATAAAAGATATTCCAACTTTTCTGGCTTCTTAATTCCTAATCTTTCCCCTATCTCTTTTTCCGACAAATTATTTTCTTGTTTGTAATGAAGAATATTTTGACAGATTTCATATTTGGCTTTCTCAATAGGATCAGCATTCCATCTTAATCCTTGGTTTATACGGCGATATCCCGGCTGTCTCATTCTTTCTAGTTCCGAGACATCAATGGCTCGTCAACCAGCCTTTTTTAATTTGGTGCTTTTGCTTGGCATATCTTTATTTTTTGTCATATTTTCTTTCGCGATAACAGTCAATTATTAGGAGAGTCGTAGTAAATGGTGAATCATCGTAATCTCATATTAAATTATAGGCTCGATAATCAATATAAAGAGGTTGGTGAGAAAAATACTTATTATCTCGCAAAAATTTTATATTGGTTAAATTATTCAACTGCTTTACTAATTCTCTAATTTTTTCATCACTCACTGTTGAACGTCCTGCTTTAGTCCTATAATACTGACTAATCTCCAATTCTACAAATCACCGACCATTAATAACCACCTGACAGGAGTAATAATTAACGGGATAATTAATAATCTGCTTTGACATCTATAAATTATTTTTTACCTTAAACCGGCCTAAACTTCACCAAATTCCCCAAATCTCCATCCCGAATATATAAAGCCGTGGTGCTAATTTTACTATGCCCTAATACTTTCTGTAAAACTGGCAACGGCATTCCGGAAATAGCCTGATGAGTGGCAAAACAGCGTCTTAAAGTATGCGGCGATAACTCAATATTAGCCGATAAACCCATTTCTTTTTTTATCTGTTGTAAAAAATCAAAAAAACTAATGCGATTAGTGTTATTAGGTTTTCACTCTCTTTTCTTCAATTCCTTAACTATTTCAGGTCCGACAAATACTCATCTTTCTTTTTGTCTTTTGCCACGTAAGAGATAGAGATTTTTATATTCGGATTGTTGATGTTCGAGAGATAAATCAAACTCAATAGCCTCAGATATCCGTAAGCCGACTTTTCAGCACAAAAGATAAAGGCATTCATGCTCGGATTTCTTAAATTCTCCTTTTTTAGGTGGGCGAGAGATTAGGTAATCCCAAACCTGCTGTAAAAGTTGATTAGTTGGCAAAATAGTTAAATTTTTTTTGTTCGGCATCTATAATTCTTTTTACTTCTAACCGTTTATTATTTACTTCTTACTTTTTATCCTTTTTCAGTAGGAAGCAGATATCATTTTTACTCTTACTACTAACAGAATAAACAATTTTGTAAGGAGTATTAAACTCTTTTTTTCCCTTGATAAATTTTCCAATTCTTTTGGTGTTTTTTTCCGGCTAAATGAGATTTAATTATTTCAGGTTCCTTAGGAAAATAGACCAAACAAATATAACAAATATTCAAGTTTTCCCGGCGGGGATTACCATTGACCCGTTTTTCTAATTTTTCTTTTTTTTGATAATATTTTTGTTTTTCACTTGTTTTTGGTTCTACTTTTTTAGGCTTGGTCTCGTAAAGTTCCAAATTTCTGACATTTTCCAACCCCTTCTTTCCTCAGGGCGTAGTTTTAATATCTCGTTCCTTTAAAAAATCTTGAAGTTCAATTAATTTTTCAAACTTTAAACATCACTTTTGATTTATTCTTCCTTTGAGAGTATAACGAGTTCCTTTTTCGTGAATGGAGCCGATGCCGACCACAAATCTTCCTTTGCTGTGTAATTCTCCTATTGAGTCGCCTTTTTGATTTACTAATCAGCAAGATTTCGGCAATTCTTTAATTAATAAGTAGCGGTGAATGCCTTTGTTAGTTTCAATGTAGCGGCTATCTTTTATCCGTTCTTTGGCTCAAATATCATCCAAATCAATCGCGATAAAGTAATAATTGCCGACAGGAGTTCCCGTTCGTAAAGAATATTCCTGGTTGAGTTCTAACAATTTTTCAATACTGCGATATTCAACATAATATTTATTTCACCCACTTACCAGAGGTTTTTTATTTTTAGTCGGCAAAAGAATGTGTTTTTTGGCTAGTATTCTTAAATATTTAGTTTCAGTTTTGGTTAATTTTTGCTGCATAGTTTTTCTACATATAGACGTCTCTCTTAATTACTCTGCTAAAAAAAAGCTAAGGGAATTCCTACTCTACAAAGAAGTAAATAAATAGAGGAGCAAAAAAAAAAAAAAAAATCTCTCCTCCTCTGTTGGTTTTTCTTTTTTTCGCGGAGAACCTTTAAAAACTCCTCGCTTCTTTGACCTCGGTTTGACCTCCGAGATAAGGCTCCTAGTGCCGGTGGCACACTTGATTATTCAAGTCTCTCCCTAATAATTTCCATAATTAACGGCTGATGCCGGATTATTCTGTCAGTTTACTATTTTACGCTCCTTTTTTTACGGAGGAGGTGGGCTTCCTTGCCATTGCTGGTGCATCTTTTCCTATCCGTTTTGGTTGATGCTTTTTATTGTCCCTGTGAAGACAGCCCCGTCCAAGGTTTAGCCTTTTTTGGGGCATATTGATTGGCGTTTTTGTGATGACAACTATAATAATCAGCGGTTTTTTTGTTTTTGATAAGGGAGGACTCTAACTCCCCTTTTTTGCTAAATAAATAATTCCTCAGATTATCATTGGCAGAAAAGCCAAGCAAGCCAAGATTATTCAGAAAAAAAATAGGATGGCGAGAATTTTCCTCATTTGTCATAATAAAAATAAACCAAGGACAATGAGAAACGTGATAATTAGTCCTTGGATAAAAAAATTGAGCAGTTCATTCATAAAATTAGAGATGTTTAGGTATTCAGTGGCCTTTTTCATTCTTTTCTACTCTATCCTCTTCACTAAATTCAAAACTAATGATATCAGCCCTAGCAAAGTCTCGGCGGTAATAAATAATCTCGCCATTATTGAGGACTTTTTTGTAAAAAACTTTAATTTTCTTTTCGTAAACAGTAAAAGTTATTCAGGAACTTTCTCCCAAAATAAAACCCTGTCCGCCAAAATTGGCGGTAAATTGGTTAACTTCATCAATTTGGTAAGAATATTCGGGATTATTGGGGTCTATTTGTGATAATTGGTTAGTTAGGTAATTGTATTTGAATTTAGACTTCGACAAAACTTTGTTTTTCATGATTATTTAGAGAATTGTTTTTTCAGCAGGTTTTCACAATTTACTATAATCAGCATGCACGGTAGCCCAATCATACTGGATATATTTCTCAGTAGTCTGCACGCTGGAATGTCCTAATAGTTGTTGAATAGTAAGTAATTGAGCCTTATTGCGATAAAGTCAAGTGGCAAATGACCTACGGAAGGTGTGAGGAGTAATGTTTTTCTTTATTCCTGCTTTTTTGGCTCGGGCTTTTAATAGTCAGCGAATATATTCGGCTTTGATTTGGTTTCCTCGTTGGTTAGTGAATAAGTAATCGTTAGAACTGGGATTAAAATGAGTAATCAAAAAATCCCGCAGTAAAACAAATCGCACCTTATTCCCTTTACCATGAACTCTTAATTGATTGCCTTGTCAATCTTGATGTCGGATATTTACTAATTCATTAATT